GAACTTGTTCTAGGTCACACATATAGGTAATTGTGAAAGCTGCCTCTCCTGACCCCTTATAAAGTGCTCATTCTAAATATTCGAAGGGAGATTATCTCTTCAATTTGGAGACATACTTCAACCATGCAGATCACAATTCATCTGTGCCTGCCCAATCTCTGACATTCTTGTCCATGTCTCTCCTTGTTTGCTCCCGGAGTGGGGGAGAGACTGCCTTGAGGCTTTCCACTTCCTTCAGATCATAATATTAGTAGGGAACACAAAAGCTTCAGCTAACAGTCTTGCACAGTATCTCTTTCTACTTTATGCCAAATAAATGAAATGCTTTCTTAAAATTAAAACCAAAAAGTTTTCCAAATATCTTTTCTCAACCAACTTGACCTCAGGCTCAGTTTGGGCTAATTTTCAGGTTTTTACTCCATATTTCTGCAACTGAATTTTTTTTTTCAATAAAATTACCTTCATCTTTCTCAACTGTGTTTCTATCAGAGTTTAAATGCTCCAGAAAAGAATAATGGTTAAAAGACTAGGGCTAAATTTAAATCAGAAAGTCTCTCACAAAACTTTGAATACAGGCAGCTGAGAAAGGGGAGTGTTGAATTCTTTATTTGTCTTAAAAGGTTTATTTTATTAGAATATGAATATGTTTATAAAGTAATTGAAAACTTTAGCCATGACTTTAAAAACTGTGTGCAATGAGAAAGCACTATCTCCTTCATGTTCCTAGCAACAAGAAAATTAAATAGAGATAATTGATTTGTTGTCCAGCTAGGAAAAGATTAAAAATCCACAGGCGAAGGTGGCATTTTAGGTAGTACAGAACATATATATTATGAACAGTCTCAGCCCTGGCTACTTGTCTGTGGGTTTACTCCACAGTCCTGCTCTAGGTTCAGAGCAACAAAGCTGAAAGGCCCAGGGCTGTTAGCCCCGATTGTGGTTATAAAACCCTGGATTGATTCCACAATCATGAAGCTAAAAAACAATATACTGTTTCTCCATGGAGTTCTTGATCACTACTCCATGAGAATACCATTCCTAATCTAAAGTATCTGTTTCAGAGAGTTAGAATGTATGGCTTCCTTCTATTCTACCACTTTTTTGAGTCTCCTTCATTATTACTTGAAATATGCTATTAGGACACTTGATTTGGTTAAGGCTTTCAGGCACACCCTGCTTACTAGATCAGTTGTTTTGAGGATGTGTTGTTTTTCAGTCTTTTAATTTTAATATTTTTCTTTTTTTCTCATGCAGTAATTTACTTGCATTTGAAACATTCTAATTTTCAAATAGTCCTATTTTCATAAGGTTTTGCTCATCTTTTTTTGGGGGGGGGGCTTTTTGGTGAGGTGATCAGGGTTAAGTGACTTGTCCAGCGTCACACAGCTACTAAGTGTTAAGTGTCTGAGGCTGGATTTGAACTCAGGTCTCCTGACTCCAAGGCGAGAGCTCTATTCACTGCACCACCGAGCTGCCCCAAAGCTGGGAAACAATTTTTTTTTTTTTTTTGGTGAGGCAATTGGGGTTAAGTGACTTGCCCGGAGTCACACAGCTAGTGAGTGTTATGTATCTGAGGCTGGATTTGAACTCAGGTCCTCCTGACTCCAGGTCCAGCGGGTTTTGCTCATCTTGTATTAAGCTATTAATTCTCCTTTCAAATATTTAATCTAGAGCTCTAACTTCTTTTCATATTCTTTCCTCTAAAGATTTTATGTTGTGTGTAACATAATTCTAACTCTTACTTCATTTATTTTAAAATGCTAGTTCACCTCGTGTCCAAACTATGTTTTTATCTGAGGATTTGTTTGTAGATGTTAGGGGATGATTTTCTTCTGGGTCTGTCTTGGACATCTCTGGTTCCATAATATTTATTTAATATCAGTGTCATTTTTCTTGCTTATTCACTGGGACTCTGTGTTAAGGCCAGTCTCTGAGCCCTTTTGGAAGGATGTTGAGGCCTTATTTGGTCCTTATCTGTATTAGCCTTATTATCTATACTATCATTGTTCTCAAAGATCTCCAGGCACTGGGTTCTTTGTTCTTCAAGTATCTCAGGGGCATCTCCAGCAAGCAAGCTGTATAGCCACTTTCAGCACCATGATCTAAGTCTGATTTAAGGCATGGTCTGATCACTACCTTCCCAGTCTGACCTTTGCAGGCTGTAAACATAGGTTCAGGATCTGAGTGACTTTGCTGTAGGCCTGGCTCCAGTGAGTGTTCTACTAGGCAGTTGCTGGCCCTAATCCCTAACAACTCCCAGAGGCTCTATAAGTTCAGAGCTATAGAACTACAGGTTCAATCAACAAGTACTTATTAAATAACTGCTTTATGCTAGCTACTAGGGACATAAATATGTGGGAAGGAGAACAAGGACATATTAAATATATTCAGGATAAATATAGAGTTAACAGATGTAAATATATATAAAGTCGTTTAATATACTACAATTTGAAATGGAGGGATTAGCAGTGTGAAAGATCAAGAAAGGATTCATGAAGAAGATGGTACTTGAGTTATATCTTAAAGAAGGAGAGACTTTATGAGAAAGAGCTAAGAAGAGGATTTATTTTAGGCACTTAGGGATGGCCAGTGCAAAGGCACAAAGAGGAGATTGAGTGTTCTGTTTGAGGATACAAAAGGAGGCTAATTTGGATGAGTGCAAGGAGGAGGAAAAATACCTAATGAGGCCGGAAATATAAGCTGGGCCCAGGTAGAATAGGGTTTTAAATTTTATACTAGAAGTGAGAAGCAGCCACTGGAGTTGGCTGAATAAAGGAGTCACATGGTCAGTTCTGTTCTTAAGAAAAATTCCTTTGGCAGCTGTGTAATGAACTGGATGGTGACAGTATAGAGGAATGAAGACCAATTAGGAGATGACTAGAATAATCTAGAAAATTACATGGATGATAATTCAGCAAAGGAGATAGAGGAGAAATCAGATAAATGGGAGAATAAAAAGGAAAATCAAGAGAACAAGGAGTATCATGAAAATCCAGAGAGGAGAGAGTAACCATGGTCAACCAGGTTAAATGTAACAGAAACATCAAAAAGGATGAAGAGTGAAAAAGAACATCAGATTTGGCAATTAAGAAATCACTGACAACTTTGGAAATAGTAATTTTTGTTGAGTGATGAAATTGGAAACAAGAATGCAGCAAAGGGTTTAAGTATGAGATTAGAGGAAGTGGAGGAATCAAGCATAGACAACTTTTTCAAGGAGTCTGGCTGAGAAAGGGAGGAGAGATATGGGATGATAGCTTGAGGGAATGATAGAGTCTAATGAAAGTTTTTTTAAAGAGAAGAACTGAATATAAAAATAAAGGCAAAAGGGTAGGAACTAACTGACAAAGACAAGTTGAAGATCCAAGAGAGGCAGAATGATTAAAAATGCAATCTGCTGAAAAAGACAGGAGAGGATGGGATTAAGTTCACATGGAGAGGGCTTGGCCGGGGCAAAAAGGGCCAACTCTTTGTTATAGACTGCAGGAAAGGAGGAGTAGAAGATTATGTCAAGAAAAGTTTTCATATTGAATGACCTCAATTTTTTCAGAAAAGTAAGAGGTAATGTCCTCAGGTGAGATGGGGAGAAGAACGGAACAGCTTCTGTGGGGAGTGATACCAGGAATTAGGGAGGAACAAAAGGACTGTCTTTTAGGGAGGTGAGGTCCAAGCTCCCTTACCTAGTTACTCAGTTTTAGGCCCCAGCCATGGTTGCTGCCCAGGCTCCAAGACCCTACTGCCGATCAACAGGAGTGTGTTCTTGGTCCACGCGTCGACAGACCCCAACTCAGGACAGCACCGGAAGGTTCTGAGTCCACTGTCCAGGATCAGAGCCATACAGGTCTCAACTCTCCTTTGTCTACCCTACCCCAGGACATAGCTACAGACCCCACCTCTATCCCTATTAAGGCATTCCTGTCTGGAACTCTTCCCCTGTGCCCAGAAGCCCCTGGCTCTCTCCTGTGATAACCCGAGCTAGAAAAGGACCCCCTATGGTTTCTCCTCAGTCTTACCAGTCACCACTCAATCTGGTGCTCTTCTTCTGTCTTTGATCAAGGACTTGTGAGGAGACAGTTGGGCTATACTGCTTTTTCATTCTATCATCTTTGCTAGTTCCAAATAAAAATTCTTCTTCTCCATTAAGATTTTTCTGATCAATCTCCCTTCATTTCTCAGTCACAGTCTGAGAAAAACAGTCCTGGGCAGGAAGAACTGTCACTATGTCTTCTCCCAAACCACAGATGTGAGTACCTTTAGATAAATATCTGTGATTTCATATTGTTGCAGCATTTGTTTTATCTTTAGGATATGCCACTATGTATAAATATGCCGTGACTGAACCTAGGAATAAAGTGTGTGTGTGTGTGTGTGTGTGTGTGTGTGTATATACATATATATATTTTATTATAGGTATTATTCTGTTAAGAGATTTTGAAGAGAACAGTCAAGCTGGTGTCTTTCAGTATGGAAAACAAATATGGATTATATAGGCTCTAGAGGTCATAGAATTACTGGTGTGTTCCTTGAACTCTAACACAGAATAAATGTACACTAACTGTGTTATAATTTAACTTAACGATAAACTGATCAACAACAACAAAATAGAACTTCCCTGATCATCGTAACTAGAAATGATCTCTTCCTCTTCTATGTGTACTCTTCATTTGGCATATACCCTTATAGTGTCTTGTATTATTAGTTTTCATGTCTTATTTCTTCATCTTACTTATAAGCTCTTTAAGGTCAAAGTCCTCCTTTCATAGACTCTCAGGGTTAAAAGGCACCTGAGAGGCCATCTTGTACAACCTGCACCTGAGTAAAACTCCACTCTAAAATACAGCTTTTTTTTTCTTACTTATTTTTACATTACTTTGAATTTTCCGTTGTTTTTATATAGTAGGAACAACATAAATATGTTGATTAACGTAGCCTCCAATATGTCCTTAATTTAAAACAAAAGAGAAAAATATATCAAGACTTAATTATTTCTCTTACAATAGGACTTTGTGCCCCTATATCAAGACTTTGAGAATTTTTATACAAGGAACCTTTACATGAGAATCCGAGATAACTGGAATCGGCCAATCTGCAGTGTTCCAGGGCCTACATTTGATGTGATGGAACGAGTGACAGATGATTACAACTGGACATTTAAGTGAGTCAGTCTGGAAGCATGATAAAGGTTTTTGGTTGAGAGAAAATCCTTCTTGCTGCCATATACGTACAACATTAAACAAAGAAAGCTCTGTCTTCAAGTCAGTTAGCTTTCTCTCTTTCCCATGTGAGGTCTATGTGATGGTTTACCATGATGAAATTTTCTATAGCACTTTGATTTATACTGTAACTGAATTTATGCCTATGCCTATATGTACTGGTTCTAAGAAACAAATCCACACATATGGGTTTTATGGAAAAGAGTTTTAAGAGCAAATTACAAAAAGATGTGGACTCTCTTCTTGGACTCTAATTTTCACCTAAGGTTCCAGTAATGGCCATAATTCAATCTCTTTAAAGATTATTTTGTAAGCTATACAAGCACATTCAGGCATGTTCAGGAAAAAATACGAGCTAGATATTCATTCTTTTTTGTACAGAGGGTACTTTTTCTACTTGAAAAATTCTTGAGCCCCTTGCTAAATTTTAATTATGGAATTACTTTATCCACCACTGGAATGTAACCGTATTATGGCAAAAAGAATTTAGTGACAGGGAAAGAAAAAGAACAACTACTCATTTCAAAAATATTGTTAAGTCATAATTGCAATAATTCGAAGTTGTGAACAGGCCAGAATTTGAATGTTTGGTATACTTATCTGGTTCTGAAATGAAATATAATAAATGATTACTTTTCTTGCTCCTTTGTCATTTATTCACTTTAGGTTTACTGGAAGAATTATTCAGGATGTCATAAATGTGGGTTCTTACAACTATCTCGGCTTTGCAGAAAATAGTAATGAAAGTTTAACAACAGTAAGGAATGTACTAAAGAAATATGGAGTGGGTGTGTGCAGCAGCAGGCAGGAAATGGGTATGTACACTCACTATATGAGTCAATGTTCTATTGCCTCTTGTTATCTTAGTGTCCCTCATCTACTTCAGAGTTGTGAGAATCAAAACATATATAAACATGCTTTCACAATGCAAAATACTGCACACATATAAGGTAGCATTATTGTTTACATGTTACTTGTCATTTTCACTTTTAACTAAAATAGCCTCCCTTTATTAAGGGAGCCTCATTTATTAAGAATAAAAATTCAGGAGCCTTTTCTGAAAGAAAATTATTACTATTGTTAATATATTTGTACATTTTAAAGTTTTCATTGTGATTTCACATTTATCACAAGAATAGCATTACTAATAGATATATTATACTTTAACCCCTTCCTACGACACTCTGCAATTCAATCTGGCCTTCTCTGTTCTTCACATGTGAAATACCATACCCCATCTCCATGACTTTGCGCTGGCTCTCCCTTGCCTGGGATGCACTTTTTCCTCACTTCCATTTCATAGGTTTTTTCCTTCCTTTCAAATAGAGCCCCCAAACTACCTGTTACATGAAGCCTTTCCTGATTCTCTCAGCTGCTAATGCCTTCCCTCTCAAACTATGTAATTCATATTTAACTAGTTTGAATGTATTTGTATTTACATTTATTACATATATACCTACATATGCACTTATTGTTTCTGTTACATGTAAACTCCTTGTGGGTAGACACTTATTAAATATTTGTCAACTGACTGATTTAAGATCTGCAAAACAATTTATATATTGCCACATTTAGTCTCTTTATATTAGATCATTCAGTCTTCAAAACAATACTCAACATAGCAAGGAGAAGTGTTATTATCATCATTCTGCTGATAAGTAAACTGAGGATCCATATGTTAAGTAACTTCCCCAAGATACCTGATAAATGAATGACAGAATTAATATTAGAATTCAGGATCTTCAGATTTTAGTCCTACATCTAGCTCAACACTTGCCCCATAACACAATGCCTCTGTGATGTATTGAACAGTCTATAGAAAGTTTCAGGTTTAGGCATAAACTCAGGCACAGTCTGTAAGGAATCTGCCTAATTAACAAATATGAAACTCTATGTAAGCCTTGAAGTTAAAGAGTTATTAACCACAAGGAATTCAATAGATGTATTAATCAAAAACAGCTATGTGGTCCAGTGGATAGACCACTGGGCTCGAATCAGAAAGACTAACTTTCATGAGTTTCATGAGTTCAAATCCACCTTCAGACACTTACTATGTGACCCTAGACAAGTCACTCAACTCTGTTTGCTTCAGTTCCTCATTTGTAAAATGAGCTGGAGAGGAAAATGGCAAACCACTCTGATATCTTATCTTTGCCAAGAAAACCCCAAAATGAGAACACAAAGAGTCAGACATGACTAAAAAACAACCGAACAACAACAATCAAAGGTGTACAATATATCCAACTGATACTAAATTAGGTAACTGATGCAGATAAAATATGCATTTTAATGGGCACCAATGAGTGAAAAGGAGAGCAAAATCATACTATCCTTTATTTTCCCACTGATTTAATGTCATTTTCCAAAACATTCCCAGAATCTAATGTATTTTATACTAATTCAGTTAATTCTCCAAATGGCCACAAAATTCATAGCAATAAGCCATGCATTTAAAATCATTAGAATTATAGTATTAATAAAGAGCTCCAAGATATACATCATAATAGGGAACTGTATCATGTTACTACTGCTGATATTTGTTTAGGATTTGTTTGAATATGTAATACATCTCATATATGAATTTAGTCAAACTGCCAGTAATACTCAGCACACTATCTCAATATTCCATTTCAATTTACCTCTCCTCCTCACAATCTATTACAGTATGTTCAATATTCTCTAAACTAAAATTTGGCAACCCTGTGTGAAAAGTTGGTTCTTAAAATTTTAAATTCCTAATGGAACAAATTGGATTTTGAAGGTTAAAAAGTAGATGATTCTTTAAAAGTTATTTTCTACTCTGCTTGTTGTCACCACTAAGTAAATACCTTCCCAGACTCTTTGTATTAATCACTCTCTAGGATTCCGGGATCCAGTCAAACCGGCCTCTACATCTCCTGTCTCTATGCCTTTGTACTGGCTGCTTCCCATGCTTCCTCACTTCTTTCCCTTCAATACACAACTAAAACACCACTGCCTAAACAAAGCCTTCCCTGATCCTCTCAACAGCAAGAGCCTTTCCTCTGAAACTAGCTTGTATTCAACTACTTTGCATTTATTTACATTATTTTTATATTTATTTCATATACAGAGTGTCCCAAAAGTCTTAGTGCAATTTTAAGTTAGAATAGCTTTGGAGACTTAAAAAAAAAAAAGGCTTTTGGGATACCCTGCATAAATATACATGTCTTTGTTTTTTCTCCTTTGAGAATGCGATTCTAGAATATAAACCTTGCCATTAGGGATTATGTCATTTGCTATATTTATATCCCCCATACCTAGGGCAGTATTTGGTACATAGTAGACACTTAATAAATACTTACTGATTGACTAACTTGCTTTGAAGTAATACCTGTAATCCTGTTAATTTCCCTTTAGTAGGGACTGTGAATGTAGACTAGCAACCACCACTCTCTCCTTAAAATCATCTGGTTCCTTTGACTGCATCTCAAACAGAATAGTCATTCAGTGGTGTCCCAGAAACATCCAGAAGCTTAAAAAAAAAAAAAAAAGCAAAATGGAAAGAACACTGGATTCAAGTCCCTACTTAAAGCTGTAAGACCTTGAGCAAGTCACTTAATCTCACCACACCTAAATTTCCTCCTCTGTAAAGACCTATCTTACCTACTACATGAAAGCCCTACTCTGATGCCTCATCCTGTTGTGGAGGTGAGCCTCTCTCACTTCCTCTGCACCTACTGCCAAGCCTCGTTTCAACTCCACCGAACAAGATGCCCCTCCCAGATTAAGCTCATCACCTCTAATCTTACCACCACGCAGCTAATTCACTTCTTGGCTGACACTCCCTCCCCTGGTCTCTTCCCTCCGATTGGAGGGCTAGAGTATCAAATGCCTTTCTTTAGAGGAGAGACATTGGACTTTTGGCTCACTCTACTCTTCATCTGCTGCTCCCCCTAGTTTCAACTCCAGGAAACAAGATGCTCCTGTGTCAGGTACCCCCTGGCCTCCCCATCCCTTTTCCTGCCTCCTTTTGTGTATTTTCTCCCACCAACAATAGATTGTAAGCTCCTTACAGGCAAGGACTGTTTTTCTTTTCTATTAATTGCATCCCCAGCACTTAGCACAGTGCTTGGCACATAGTAGCCGCTTCATAAATATTTACTGGGTTGAATTGGATTGGGTTCCAGTAGAGCTTATACTCTGGTAAGTCCTAATATACTGCAAAGGCTTCAAAAGAAGCTTTTGTTCAAAGGAACAAAGTCTTTTTTGCAAGACAAGCCAATAACGTAGAGGCACATTATCAACAGGCTGGTCACCTGGTGGTAAAACTTTTGTGCCATGGCAACCTATGAAAAAAAAGAAAAATTTTTAATGGCTCTCAGTCCTGTGCAACCCTCTTCTGCTTCAACCACAATGGTGGCAGAATGGCAGGAACACGGACAGAGGGTGATAAGAATCAGGAGATTTGTAGAACATCAACAAATATCCATTTACTATTGGCAAACACAAGATCCTTGTCCAAAGAGCAACAAGTGGACATATTGCTAGAGTCTCTGAATCATAATCAACCTTAACATTCTTAATATAAATAAAATCAAAAGAAAGAAGTTAAATAGAAGTTAAATAAGTTAAACAGAAGAGTGTCTCAAAGGTATCTTTAGAAAGGCAAAGAAAGGAATTTGCAAAGTAGGTTTTATCATATTCCCCAAAGCTTCAAGAAATATTATTTCATGGGACATTTGGTCATCATATATTATAGTATTAATGATAATCCTTTGCAAAAAGACAGAAATTTCAGTTTACACATCATTAGTTGCCAAGGACAAAATGGTAGATAGATGCTATGAAGAACCTTATAAGACTTGCCACACTAAATCAATATGCTCTAATATTTGGTCACATTTCACCCCTGAAAAAGTGAGGATGTGAAGAACTATATGGAAAAATACAGTTCCAGAGGAAAAAATAAGATGCAAAAGACTTGTAGATTATATATATGTATTATATATTTCACATATTACATGGACATGTAAAGCACCAAATAACATCACACAGAATGAAAATGAATGCATTTTAATGGGGAGGAAAAGATTCACAATTGGTGTGGGAATTATTCCTGAAGCTGTGCACAGACAGCCCTAAGATCAGAAATACTAATAAACAGGAAGAAAGATGAACCAAAAGAACAAAATATGATATACAATTAAGAATATTTAACCCATAAAAGACCCTAGTCAACAAACATTTGACTTACTTGCCAGAGAGAAGTGGCTTCCAAATGCAATACTGGGTTAAAATATAAACTAATCTATAAAACCATACGAAAAAGGATGATAGTCAATTATGAGCAATATCATCTCACAAAGTTGAGAGAAGCAGTGGAGGACAAATCTAGTCTAGAGAAAGGCTGGCAAGATACAAACCAAGCAAACTCATGTGAATGGTATTCAAGGATGAAAACAAAAAGAGGATTACAAAACAAAAAAATGGAAAAGATTTGCAAAAACAAAACAAAAAAAAAAACACATTTTCTCCATCAAGGATAGTGAAACTACCACATTTGGATCCTAACACAATAGTCCCTAAGATATTTAGAGAGGAAGCAAATGAATAAAAGAACAAAAAAAAGCAGACATATTAGATCATATATATGTTGAGGATATCTAGGTGATATAACTTATCACATTGTGAGATCAATATATAAGATATCTAAGAAAGGTGGAAGATACCAAAAGCACAAGGCAGGGGGTGGGAGTGGAGGCTTAGGAGTGAAGCTCAGACCTTACTGATATTAAAAAAAATGATTAAAAAAATGCCAACAACTGATGTATATGTCGACTTTCCTATCTATTAAAAAATCTTTATGAGGAGTCATCTATACATGAATTGAGAGCCTCCTTGATGACATTATCAGCAAGGAATAAGCAGGCCTTTACAAACAATATTCCACAAGAGTCCATATCTTTACCATCTCACAACTGACTGAAAGATACTGAGAATATCAGATCTTGTGCTTGATTATTGATTACAAAAAAAAAATTCAACTTAGTAGAACAAAATACCATCTTATAAACTCTTTTACAACAAGATGTCTCCCATCCAAATATCATTATCATTCAAGATTCTCCAGAGTTGTAACTAGACAATAACTATGTTCAATGACCTTCTGATAATAAGCTATCAGGTGATGTAAAACAGAGAGATGTATACAGAACAAAAGTACTGTCACTGTGACAGAGGAGACAAAATGCAGAATCCAGGTCAAGGAAGGATTCCCTGTTAATGATGAAGTCTTCTTGCTCATGTTTGTGGATGACATTATATCAATTCCTGAAACAAAGCAGAGCCACTTGGAAATATCTGTAATTACTCAAAAGAATTTGGCTTTTCTATCTACACAATGAATGAAGTGTATCTATTGCTACAGATTTCAACATACACCTGACCATGTCCAAGATTTTGTTTATCACAGACAGATAACAAATACCATGAACTCGACCCAAAGTTGAAGAGAATGGTCTGAATTGCTTTTTGGAAAACTGCAAAGCACTTTTATGAACACTCAAGCTTTCCATAAAAGCAAAAGGCCCATATTTTCAATACAAATATTTTACTGGTGATGCTTTATGGCAGTGAGACCTGGAACACCACTTCCTTTAAAGAGCTAAATACAAGCATCACTCAGAGGACAAATGAAATAAGCATAGTAGGTGTGAGCTGGCTGCAACATATAACCAACAAGAAATTCTAAAGAATAGGAGTAAGGAATGACATCAAGGAATTGTATAATAGAAAGAAAGAATAGGTTAGTCATATGGCATAGTCAGAGTCCATGATCAAAATGTGAGAGAAAAATAAGGAAGTACTTTAACATTGTTGTGATCTTTGGGGAGTACAAGGATGAGAGTCATATAATCAATCAATAAACATTCATTAAATGCCTACTATATACCAGACACTATACTAAGTGTTAGGAATACCAAAAAAAAAAAAAAGACAAAAGACAGCCCCTGTTCTCAAGAAGCTTACAATATAATGGGAGAAACAACATGCAAACAAATATACAGATATACACATATACACACACAAAATGAATAGGCATAGATAGGTTTTTATCCTCATTACTGTAGAGAATTTCTAAATCTATGAGATTATAAATCCACTTGAATATCTGCATAGGTGAAAGTACTTTGAAAAATGTAAATTACTACATAAAATATGGGTTATTCATGTTGTTATTCCTCTCCAATTCTAAATATTAAATGCCCTTGACTTGCTCATGACTCTAGGCTAAATTATTATAAAGTAAATTATACATTGAGGCTTTAAACAAATCCACTATAAAGACGCAAAATACCATAAGGCTATATTGTGTTGCTCTAAAAGTTTGTTATCAATGCTGTTCTCAGCATGGCATGCCAGTGCTTATCTTGTTGTACATGAACAAAAATGTACTAGCAGATATTAATACCATGTTTAAATAACCTCAGCCTATCTGAATTAGGGGTAAAAAAGTTAATTAGGTCTTCCAGGTGTGATCACACTTAAGCAAAGAGACTACACTCTAACAGAATCAGAGAAATTTATAACCTAATCTCATTAAACCATCAATACAGACACCTGGTTTTAGGCTATGTGGATTTTTATTTTTGGGGCAGCATGGCTGCATATTTTGGTCAATTTGAATGACTAGCAAAATGCCAGTATATTTGATGTTGTAAAGATATAGACCAAGTATGGCAGAGATAGTCACAATGACTGTGGCCATGCATACAAAGTAAAATGTACAACAGAAGCAAATTCTCATGAAAAAAGTGAAACAACCAACTGAAGCAAATAATTATATCTTGTTTAAATTAATAAGAGGCAACATATCACAGTCGATTGACAGCTGGTCTCAAAGCCATGAAGACCTTGGTTCAAGTCCTCCATCTGACACATACTGGCTGTGTGATTCTGAGCAAGTTACTTAATCTTGCAGTGCTCTAGACAGCTCTCCAATACAAAATTGCAAAGGTGTCTACATGAAATGGTAGAGGGAGTTTCCTCACATAGGAGTTCCCTACACCAATGAAATTACAGGTCAAGTTCCCATCCCTCAAACTTTCAGAAGATTTGCTTCACTTCTCTACCTTGCATGTCTTAAAACAGCCTCTAAGTACTATAGTGCAGCATCCAATTCTGAAGACAGCTTATTGATAGTGATGAAGGGATTTCTTTTTACTTTTTAAGGATGTGATTAATCCTCCAGCATTTTCCTCTCTTCCTAGTCTTTTGCCCTCCATAAGAACCTGGAGGCAAGGGATGGTTTTGTAATAACACTGTCATATTTGCATTTATATACCACACTATATTGTGTCACTGGGGAAAAAACTTCTGAGATAACAAATTTCTTTGATGATCCAAGTGAGGCAATGGTATCAAAAGCAACTGACCTCAATTGTTGAGATTTTTTTCACCTTTGGGAGTGGTTTCATGTTCTAATCTCACTGATCACTATTAAGAGAATTTCATAAACAAAGATGGCATCATGTCTTTTGGGGCATAATGTTTAAGGAAGGATGTGATAAGCTAGAATGTACCCAGAGGACAGCAATAAGGACAGTGAAATGGCTTGAATTCATGACACATGAAACTAAAATGAAGGAAATGAGGAAAGTGATCTTTGAGGTTCTTTCAGGTACTTAATCTATGCAGCGATCTTATGTTTAGCCTTAAGAAGAAAAGAATTTGGGAACTTGATAGCTATTTTTAAGAAGCAGAGTTGTCCTGTCAAGAAGCTTAGATTTACTCTATTTCAGTGAATAGCTTTTAGCTGTCCTTCCTAGATTTGTGTTATCTGCATATTAGATAAACATATCATATCCGCCTTTATCCAATTATTGATAAAATATATTAAACGGCAAATAATCAAGAACAGATTCCTGGGGTATTCTACTAGAACTATCCTAAGTTGAATGTAATTTATCACAATGCAAAAAATATATTAACATAATAACATATACTAATAGTAGTATTTTGACCTACTTTGACACTCTATCCTATATATAATATTTATCCATTAGTACTTATCTACATACATATAAATATATATATTTTTTGTATCTTCTTTATCTATGTACCTATTATAATCTGATTATTTCACTCCTTTGGACTCCAAGTTAAAAATTTAAGATAGAGCAAAACAAAGGGAGACAATGATAAACCATCCTCAGCGGCCTCTAAGTAAAGCAAAAAGCAGCTACATTAAAGGATTTAGAGAGCAAATGTACTATTTTCTTGGAATCCAAAATGCATACTACAAAGTTGATATTCAGATGTGGAGAAATATTAATGTCCTTTAATTCATATAGGTTTCTAGGAACAGATTATGTATTTTCTCAAATGAAAAATGTGATATATTTTATTCTTCTTCCTCCAGGTAACACTGATAAACTTGAAGAGTTGGAGGACCTGGTAGCCCAGTTTCTGGGAGTAGAAGCAGCTATGGTGTTTGGAATGGGTTTTGCTACCAACTCAATGAATATTCCAGCACTGGTTGGAAAGGTAAGAATTATTTTGAGGTATCCATGCATTGTTATTTTAAAGAATTATAACTTTTACCACTTTTAGTTATATTAATGTCATTTCCATTCTGTGGAAAAAGTTAGCCCATTTACTTCTTTAGTAAATGTTAACTGGTCTTCAAAGTGACTCCTTTGGGGTTCCAGGTTACCAGAGTACAAAACTGTTGGCCCTCTATATGGGTAATAAATCAGCAATAACAAGACCATGCTCAATCTTTCCATGCCTCTGAACCTACAACACACTGTGTAAATTGACGAGTTAAGCAAAAGACTTTGAAAAGTGGTGGCAAAGAACTGGAAACTAAGGGGGTGTCCATGAATTGGGGAATGGTATAAAATACAGCAGATGAGTTTAATGGAATATTACTGACTCATAAGAAATAATGAAAGAGATGATTTCCAAGAAACCAGGAAGATGCAAAGTGAAGTGACCAGAACCAGAAGAACAGTTTATACAATTTCAAAAACACTGTTTAAAAAAAAACATCAACTCTGAAAGATATAAGAACTGTGATCAGTGCAATGACCAACCATAATTCCAAAGGGCCAATAACAAGAGATATATTTTTGGATATATATAGTCATGGTGGGAATTTATTTTGCTTTACTCTGTGTATTTATCACAAAGATTTTGTTTTATTTTGTTTTTCTTTCTCAATGGGTGAAGCAAAAAGGAGTTGAAATAAAAGCTTATTAATTGGAAAAATAAATTTTAATCTTAAAAAGAAGAAAAGTAATTTTGTAAGCAATCATCTACAAAATATTAACTGTAGCCAGAAAATTGGCCTATCCCTCTTAACTGGGGATAGACTGACAAAGCTTTGCCATATTCTAAAGCTTAACCTGAAAGTGATACTTTATCTTAAAACATAGATGTTTATCTGTGGTAACACTGTGTTAATCAGTGTGTTAACACTGATAAACTACCAAGAATACTCTGCAAGAGTTAAGAATACATTTGAGATTAGAACTGGGCAAAGCATTTGTGATCCCGAGAAAAGGCTTTTAAATTGTACTCCTCGTCGGGGCAGCTAGGTGGCTCAGTGGATGGAGCACTGGCCCTGAAGTCAGGAGGACCTGAGTTCAAATGCAGCCTCAGACCAAACACTCTGACACTTACTAACTGTGTGACTCTGGGCAAGTCACTTAACCCCAATTACAAAAAAAAAAAAAAATTGTACTCCTTGCGTTACTGTCCACTGGAGGCTTTAGGGTTTCACTGTAAAACAAACAATTGGACATCACAAAATAAATACCATTACGCAGAAAACAAAATTTTCTGCCATCAAAAAATATGTACATCTCAGCAACTACCCACTCCTTACCTGAGCCATGATAAAGACTTTGTGAAATGCTGCAAAATTGTACTTCAGGTAATCAAGTTTCATTGGCATATGGTTCAGAGAAACACACAGTTAAGTAGAGCACAAGAAAAAAAAATTTCTAAAATACACCATGAGTAAATGAGCACACTCAAAAGAGCAGATGAAGGATATTTCAGAAAAGACAGAACTTCTCCTGATACTCTTGCCAAATACCAAATACTCTTGGCAGAGACAAAGGGTGAACTGTTTTCTTACTTTTAATTTTTACAAATTTGTGTGTAAAACAACAACAAAAACAAAACAAAAGGATATATAACTTTCACTAAAGATACATAGTGTTTTCATATTATTAGTAATCACAGAATCATAAGACTTGTAAGTTCTCTCGAAAGGTCTCTTCCCATTATCTGAAGGCATAGTCTGCCCCTTAAAATATTCCAAAGAATCTAGCCTCGTATGAAAAATCTCTAGAGAAAGCGACACTACAACCTTCTCAGATAATGCAATGTAAATTTTAATAGCTCTAAATTTGTCTAATTCTTCATGCTGCAGCTTAAAGCTGCTGCTTACTAAGATCACTGCCTTTACAACATAAATCAGAAGAATTCTAGAGTGTCACAATCATCATTCGTATACTTGAAAGTCTAAACAAATCATCTCATTTTATGATTATCTGTACTCAGAGTCTTATCCACAAAGACATTCAAGTCAGTTGGTGGTCTTTATAATAATGGACTAATTTGAGACCTGACGTGATCTTATTGGACTTAAATTTAGAAGACCAAGGTTCCAGGACCAACTCTGCTACTCACTAGCTATGTGTCCTGGGGCAAGTAACTTAACCTCTCTATGCCTTGGTTACCTTATCAACCAAATAAGAAAGTTGACCTGAAGGATCTATAAGGCTTCTTCCAACTTTAATGGTCTATGAGTCAATGGATTCGGAGCCCTTTGTCAGTAATGTTTTCGCCTCACTAAAGGTGTTCAAGCAAAAGATTAATGATAGAGGGTTCTTGTTCAAGCATGGGTTGGACTAGATGGGCCTCTGAAGCTCCTCCCAAATATGGAACTTGGTGATTTTGATCCTGTCTTATAATATCCTATTGATTATTTAACTGTTTTTCCTTTCTTCACAGGGTTGCCTGATTTTAAGTGATGAATTAAATCACACCTCTATCATTCTTGGAGCCAGACTTTCAAAGGCAACGATAAGGACCTTCAAACACAACAGTGAGTACAAAGGGAATACTGCAGATTAAAGTATGGCCAACAGACACGTCCTTTCAACAGGGAATTCTGTTTAGTTTCAAGAAGCTTTATATGTTTCAGTTTCTGCCTAGAATAGACTGAGAAAACTGAGTAGGAGCTGGCTGTGAAACTGACACTTCAGCTACTACAACCGCTGGTGGTTCCACGGTGACCTCAAACAAATGGCTGAAGTATCTAAAACTTCCAGAGCAGGAGGTATTACATAAGCAAGCACAGGGTCGTTGTCATCAGTTACCTTACGGCAGTGTGTCGAAAGCATAACTAATTTCTTTTAAGACTATGCTATAAGTCTTCCTGAATTCTTACTAGGAACTGGAAATTTTTGATGTTTGTTAAATTTTTATGGTACAATATGAAGAAAAAGTGTTTTCTTACTTGGCATATACTTCTCCTATGAATATATACATATATGTATCTATGTGTGTATCTATGTACCATATATGTATATGTATGCAGGCATCTGAATATACATGTATTCAAATGAGCATATTCAGGCTATGAATACACTAATGCTTATAATGAGATAAACAGAGCCCCATTTCTTCTTCGGAGTGCTGTAAGCAGGGAATGTGGTAAAGCAGAAATAGCATTATACTAGGAGTCAAGTGCCCTGACCTTTCATCCTGGTACTGCCACTAACATACCTGATCAGCCTTCAGGATAACACTTCATCTCTCTGGGTCTTGGCTTTCTCATATGTAAAGTGAGAGCTAACCAAATGAGCTCTGAGGTTTGTTCCAAAGGAGACTCTATGAAATTTTAATTTTCTGCACAGGTATCCAGTCTGAATAACCCTCCCAACCAACATAAACTCTGAACTTCCCTTTCTGCTCACCCCTCTTCTTCTGCTTCCCTCATCCTTTTCAGTCCTCTTTCGTTTTTTTTTTTATTTTATAAATTTATTTATAGTTCTCAACATTCACTTTCATTAGCTTTTGAATTTTAAATTTTCTCCCCCTCTGTCCCTACCTCTCTCCCCAAGATGGCATGCAATCTGATATAGGTTCTACATAGACATTCCTATTGAACATATTTTCACATTAGTGATGTTGTAAAGAAGACTTAGAACCAATAGAAGGAACCACAAGAAAGAAGGAACAAAACAAAACAGAAGAGAAAAAAAAGTGCAAAAAGTATGCTTCGACTTGCATTCCAACTCTATAGTTCTTTTTCTGGACATAGATAGCAGTTTCTATCATGAGACTTTTAGAGATGTCTTTGATCCTTGCATTGCTGAGAAGAGCTAAGTCTATCAAAGTTAGCCATCGCACAACATGTTTGTTACTGTGTACAATGTTCTCCAGGTTCTGCTCACATCACTCAGCTTCAGTCCATACAAGTCTTTCCGGGTTTTTCTGAAGTCTGCTTGCTCCTCATTTCTTTCTTTTTTTTTTAAATTTATTTTTTTAGTTTTCAACAATCACTTCCATAAGCTTTTGAGTTTTAAATTTTCTCCTTCTCCCTCCCTGCCTCCTTCCCTAAGATGGCATGCAATCTGATACAGGCTCTACATATACATTCCTTTTAAACATATTTTCACATTAGTCATGCTGTAAAGAAGAATTAGAACCAGTAGGAGGAACCACAAGAAAGAAGAAACAAAACAAAACAGAAGGGAAAAAAAGGAGCAAATAATATGCTTCTATCTGCATTCAAACTCCATAGTTCTTTCTCTGGATGTGGATAGCATTTTCCATCGTGAGACTTTTGGAGATGTCTTAGACTCTTGCATTGCTGAGAAGAGCTAAGTCTGTCAAAGTTAGTCAACACACAAGGTGGCTGTTCCTGTGTCCAACGTTCTCCTGGTTCTTCTCACTTCACTCAGCATCAGTCCATACAAGTGTTTCTAGGTTTCTCTGAAGTTCACGTGCTCATCAATTCTTATAGCATTCCATTACATCCATATACCACAACTTGTTCAGCCATTCCCCAATTGATGGGCATCTCCTCAATTTCCAATTCATGGTCACCACAGAAAGAGCTGTTATAAATATTTTTGTACGTGTGAGTCCTTTTCCCATTATTATAATCTCTTTGGGATACAGCCCTAGAAGTACTATTGCTGGGTCAAAGGGTACATACAGTTTGATAGCTCTTTGGGCATAGTTCCAAATTGCTCTCCAAAATGGTTGGATCAATTCACAACTCCACCAACAATGCATTAGTGTTCCAATTTTCCCACATCTTCTCTAACATTTATCACTCTCCTGTTTTGTCATGTTAGCCAATCTGATAGGTATGATGTGGTACCTCAGAGTTGTTTTGATTTGCATTTCTCTAATCAATGGTGATTTAGAGTATTTTTTCATATGACTATAGATAGCTTTAATTTCTTCATCTGAAAACTGCCTGTTCTTATCTTTTAACCATTTATTAATTAGGGAATGACTTGTATTTTTATAAATGTGACTCAGGTCTCTATATATTTTAGAAATGAGGCTCTTATCAGAGACACCAGTTGTAAAAATTCTTTCCTAGTTTTCTGCTTCCCTCCTAATCTTGGTTGCATTGGCTTTGTTTGTGCAAAAACTTTTCAATTTAATGCAATCAAAATTATCCATTTTGCATTTCATAATGTTCTCTATCTCTTGTGTGGTCATAATTTTTTCTGTTCTCCATAAATCTGACAGGTAAACTATTCCTTGCTCTCCCAGTTTGCTTATAATATAAGCCTTTTTATCTAAATCATGTACCCATTTTGATTTTATTTTGGTATATGGTGTAACACTCTGGTCTATGCCTAGTTTCTGCCATATTCTTTTCCAGTTTTCCCAATAGTTTTTGTCAAATAGTGAGCTCTTATCCCAGAAGCTGGGGTCTTTGGGTTTATCAAACAGTAGATTACTGTAGTCATTGACTACTGTGTCTTGTGTACCTAACATACTTCACTGATCCACCACTTTATTTCTTAGCCAGTACCAAGTAGTTTTGATGATTGCTGTTTTATACTACAATTTAAGATTTGGTGTAGCTAGGCTAACTTCCTTAGCATGTCTTTTCATTAGTTTCCTTGATATTCTGGACCTTTTGTTCTTCCAGATGAATCTTGTTATTATTTTTTCTAACTCTATAAAATAATTTTGGTAGTTTGATTGGTATGGCACTGAATAAGTAAATTAATTTAGCTAGAATTGCCATTTTTATTATATTAGCTTGGCCTACCCATGAGCAACTGATATTTTTCCAATAATTTAGGTCTGACTTTATTTGTGTGAAAAGTGTTCTGTAATTGTGTTCATATAGTTCCTGGGTTTGTTTCGGTAGGTAGACTCCTAAATATTTTATGTTGTCTACTGTAACTTTAAATGAAATTTCTCTTTCTATCTCTTGTTGTTGGGCTTTATCGGTAATACATATGTCCTCTAACTTTCTTGGCCTTTCTCTAACTCCACTGCCATGAAAAGCAACAGATACGTGAGAGGAGTCTGAAGATGATTCAAAGATTAAAACACAAAGGAAAAAAAAAGCCAGACCTTTTCCTAAAACTATTGTGTCAGGTGGCAAGAAGACAACATTTGGAACAAGATAGAAAGTACATGCATCAATAAATCCTTGATCATTACGAATTAGCTGAGAGATTGTTGTCTAAATATAGAAAGTCAGTTTGGTTCATGAAGCAAATCAATTTTTTTTTTTTTGTAAATGCAAAGGTTGCTCCACACCTGCCCAAATACCAAGAAGTAGCCACAGTAGAAAGAGATGTATACCTTGAGTCAGAAAGACCTCTCTTACTAGCTGTAGAATTCTAGGGAAGTAACAACTTGTATCTTGCCTCAGGTTTATCATCCATAAACTGAGGATAACAATAGCATTCACCTCCCGGGGCTGTTAAGAGAATGTATTTATAATGTACTTTTCAAACCTTAAAGTGACCTTCCATGTTTTATAAAATTTCATTAATTTGAACCAGTCAAATGCATCTTCCTATTCAACTCTGGATTTATATTATTATTCATCTGCATCATCAACAACTTGTATTTACTATATGGCTACAACTTTTGGTATATGGGCAAAACAATGCAATAAGATACAGTCTAAGCTCTCAAGAGAGACAGGATATATGCATAGAAATACAACAAAGCATTTGCAGAATGGCAAATGAGGGGTGTAGGCAATAAGTATTACTGAAGTTCAGAGATACGGTACAGGAAGAAAGGAGAAAAGAGAGCACTGAAAGCTGATGTAATCACAAACAATTGGATGGAAGACACTATATATAATATCTGAGCCAGATGTTGAAGAAGGTGAAAGAGGATTCAATTTAGAGTCCAAGAACCTGGTTCTGAAACATAGCTCTGCCATTTATTACTTAGGAGACCTTAGGTACATCACTTTATGACTCTGAGCCTCAGTTTCTTCATTTGTAAAATAAGAAATAGACTAGATGACTTTTTTGGGGGGGGAGGGGGGGAGAGGCAATTGTGACTTGCCCAGAGTCACACAGCTAGTAAGTATTAGTGTCTAAGATTGGATTTGAACACAGGTCCTCCTGACTCCAGGTCTGGTGTTCTATACACTGCACCACCTAGCTGCCATAACAAGATGACTTCTAACGTCCTTTTGACTTTTATATGTATCTAGAAGGGTATGATAAGTGGAAAGGAGGTAAAATATTCCAATGAGGACAAAAGAATGTTACTATACTCCATGGTTTAGTAGAATGATAAAAGACAGATGCTTATCTTGAGGAAGCTATTTTGTACTTTGAGCTATCTCATTCTGCCTGAAGCAGTTAACTTGGAATAGTAGATAGAGTGCTGGACCTGAAAAGAGGAAAACCTAAGTTCAAATCCAGCCTTAGACACATACTAGCTGTGTGATCCTAGCTAGTCACCTAACTTCTGTCTACCTAAGTTTCCCTTTCATAAAATATAAAAGCGCTGAATTTGCAGGGTGTTGTAAGGACGAAATGATATAATATTTGTAAAGTACTTTGTAAACCTTAAAGTAGCATTTAAATT